GGGGGGGGGAGGGGGGGGGTTTATAGCTTTCTCTGAATGCTAGGGCAAGGGGAGCCTAGAAAGGAACTGTATCTCTGTAGATATGAGTGCGTATAAATCAGGGGAGACGTGCAAGGGGTGTATAAGTACAGCTCGCTGCGGTAGAGAATTCCCAGCGCTTCACTGTAGGAGGTTAGAGACAAAGGAAGGGACTGGCTGGCAGCTAGCACGGCGCAGTACTGAGAAAACTGAGGGTTTAGAGGAGAGGGCCTTCGTGTTGAGGGAGACAAACATTCTACGCTGCCTACTCATGATAGAGGAGTGATGCAAGCAGCAGAGAAAGGAGCTAATATCTACCCCGAGTGAAAAGGATGCTAATTGGTGCGAGAAATATTCATATGGCTGAGCCAAAGACGACAGAGAAATCTCAGCTGCCGTCAGCTGAGCAGCGTGAGACGGAAACTGCAAAACAACCACGAGAAGAGAGAGAGAGAGTGTGTGTACGCAGGGTATTAGCACCCAAGAGCATGCAGCGGTGCCGGAAGGGGGATNAGAGAGAGAGAGAGTGTGTGTACGCAGGGTATTAGCACCCAAGAGCATGCAGCGGTGCCGGAAGGGGGATACGAGCAGGAGAGGAATTATGTTGAGTGGCCGTGGCGGTGAGGGGTCTGGGTAAGAGAAGCCGCTGCTCAAGGAGACGCTGCAGAGCTGCTGAATGTGAGGCGCTCTTACATGCAGGGAACCCGAAAGGTTTTGTTAGCTTCCATACACTACAGTGTTTAGCAGAGGTGTGATGAGGTTTGTAGTGAATACTATAAACGTGCAATCTCGGCACCAATGCTGTGCTCGTTGTGGGGTGAGCGAGGGTTGTATGAACAGAGGTTGTGTATGTGAGTGTTTACTGATGTATGCTGAGTATAACACTGATGAATGCATTACTTATTCTTTATGAAGAGACATTGCTATCAGTATAGGAGAGGCTGGCATGAGACTTCGTGCAAAAAGTGTTGCAGCACGCTCACGCTACCTTGTCTCCTCTCCCAGCCCCAAAGGCCGTAGTGCTGGCTCTAGTGGGGTTGCAGAGCAGAACAAGTACTCCTTGAGAGATTCAATCTAATAGTACGTAAAGCTTATTGTAAATATTTATACTGAAGAGAAATACTCTACAGGTCTCAGCATAGCATGTGAGGGACTGGGGGCTTGCCCCACATCTCATCAGCTCACTGGGCCCGCAGTAGCTCTAGTGTTATGGATTCGCATCACCCCATCGAGTGAAGGACCTTTGATCCGTACTAGGTCTTACACTTGTGTTTTTCATCTGCGTTTGTGTTTTCGTTGGGGCCGCAAGACGCAGAGCTGCTGGCAGAGACTAGTGCATCTACTGAGATGACTGGGTTCAAGCTCCGAGGGCTTGAACCCACTCATCTCAGTAGATGATTCCTAAGGCCCCAAACTCCCCCGTTAGACTGGCCCTTCTGAGGGGGAGTTTCTTCGCCAATGCCAAAGGGACACTACAAAGGCGGGGAAAGAGGAAAGGGGGCACAGGTGCATTGCTGCTCTTGCAATGGGCGTGGGCATGAGGTAAGGGACCCAAATGTGAAGCTATAGTGTAAAAGAGACGGCAGCCGATGTAACAAGTGTGGGGGCTTGGCCACTGGGCCAGGTCGTGCTCATGAAGCGATCAGACTAAGGAAGAAACATCTGTACGAGTGAAGCGAGAGCAAACGGAGACACACCAGAAAACGCCAGGGCCTAGGTGGTTTAGAGTTGAACTGAACTACGCCAAGGAGAAACGAGCAGCAGAGGGCTGACAGGCTTGTGGCTCATTGAGACTCAAACACAACACACAATGCTGAGTCCAAAGATAGCATGCGTACAAAGCGAGATCAGATGTCCCAGCAAAGTGCTTAGAAAGGGAGGCAGGCACAGCAGGAGAGACAGCAGAGACAGCTTGTGATTCAGCGCGGGGCACTGCAGATCCAATACTGGGTGCCTCGCCCTCGGAAGAGCGCTGAGGGTGAGAAAGTGCAGGCATTTGAGGGATAGACTGGTGCGAAATAAAGGGGTTGCCGGCAAGGTTGAGAACTAGTGAAGCGGGACAGCAACAGGCGCCCAAGGTGGAGGCGCTGAGTGTTAGCTGCTCGAAAGGTACACAGCTCATGTGTTCGGCGTATAGCAATCGTGGCCAGGATAGAGGCCATCGGCTGGGAGCTGAATTTGACCCAAACACGCAGAGACTTGGTGATGAATTCAGTAGGACTCAGCTGGGGCATATTGTGAGAAACTCCCCTTCAGAAGCGCCAGTCTAAGGGGAGTTCGGGACCTTAGATATCATGTGGCCCTCGGAAGCTGATCGCACTCACGTCAGCAGATGGACTAGTCACTGCCAGCATCTCTGCGTCTTGTGCCCCCAACGACAACAGAAACGCAGATGAAAAAGACACATGTGAAGCGTAGAAGGGATCCAAGTTCCCTCACACGATGGGGTGATGGGATTTCATAACGCTCTAGGTACTGCAGGCCCTGTAAGCTGATGAGAAGTGAGGGAGAGCCCTCAGTTCTCTCATGCAGTTGCNAAATATTCACAATAAGCTATACGAATTACTCGGTTGTATACGCTGAAGGGCGACTGTGGGGCGCATCCCTCGAACCCCACAGCTGAGTATAGCGAGCTGGCAAGCAATATCTATCATGCTGAACAAAACATATCAAACTAACAAAGGTTAAGGAAATAAGTTATCTCAGTTGATTCTCTCTCTCTCTGAGAATTGTTCTCTCTCGACCCCAGTAGAGCAGGCACTGCGGCCTTTGAGGCTGGGAGAGGAGACGGCGTAGCCTGGTGCAAATAGCTTTTGCACCACGGCACAAGGCACCCTCTCCTATAATCATACCAATGGTCACCCCATAAAGAATGCTGAATGCTTTCACCAATGTTGTATTCAAAGTATATCAATAAGAACTCACAGCCACTTCCACTATTCATACAACCCTCACTCACTTCACAACGAGCACGGCATTGCTGCTGTGATTGTAGGGAGTATTCACTACAGGAAGCTTTCAGAGCGGCCATGAATTCCTAGTTGAGCAAGTCCCACATAGGATGATACTCGGCGCCGACTGGCTTCGGGCCAGCTGAGGGATGCACCAGGAAAATTCCGAGCTATCATGAACCACATGTTCTTGCCACTAGCTGGAAGGGGAGTTGTCGCCTACGTAGATGATGTTCTGGTCTACAGCGAAGACGAAGAGCCCCGTGCTAAGTTGTTGGAACAGTTCTTGAAAATTCTGTGGGAACAGAGAATGTATCCTAAGTTTAAGAAATGTCAATTCGCCAGTTCGGCGATCGAATATTTGGGGTACAGGATAGGCGGAGATGGGATCACGCCGAGCCCTGCAAAGGTGAAGGCTATTGAAATATGGCCTGAAGAACTCCCCGACGACACACAACTTAAGCAGTTCCTGGGGACAGTTAGTTACTGTAGGATGTTCATGGGGCCAGTTTTCGCGGACAAGACGAAGCCACTCGTCGAGCTAATCAAAAAGGGTGTGCCTTTCCTCTGGACTGAGAAGATCACAGAAGCAGTGAAGGCCCTGAAATACACTTCGGCCATTTTCACGACCTTGCAGATCCTCGATATAAAAAAAGCCCTCTGTGCTGCGTCCGGATGCTTCGGGATACGCGGTAGGAGGCGTATTGGAAGATAGCATGCTGCTGGGGTTCATGAGCATGAACATGTCACCAGCAGAGCAGCGGGATGCAGCGGGGCCAGCAACCCCGTTGCCGATGCACTCTCCTGTTGGGGCGAGAGTGAGTGATCCGCAATGGAAGATCAGAGTTGGAGATTCTTGTTGGTTATTCGCATTCAGGGGCTTTGGCGGCATGCTTGCTCGCTTTTTCTACTGGCCTCAGAATGCGTTGGTGGGGTCTGCACAAGAAGCAGAGCCGGGGGCCATGGTTTGATGCACCCATTGATGAGAGGGAGGTCAAGTTCCGAGGGCCCTATGATCTCTAAGGCGCCCAACCCCCCTAAGCCGCCTGCTGTAGGGGAGTTTCTCACATGTAGGTTGCACCTCCTTGCCGTGGGTTCCGATATCAGATCCACTTAGCAACCGGGTAACGGCCACCGGCGCTAACGACCAAGTTGTACCACTTCGTAGTAGTTGGTATCACCTATATACTCCCCTTAAGAGGTGCCTGTGTGCCGTCTGCTGCAGCTGTTGGTGCTGCTGCTGATGTTGCTGCCCTTGCCCCTTCCGCTGCCCCTGCTGCTGAGTCTGCTGCTGCTTCTCGTAAATACTGGCCCTTGCCCGTGGAGACCAGTATTCGATAAGCTGAGAAGGCACAATTGGGCGCCCCCCCCGCCGCTGCTGCTGTGGCGGTCATTGCCTGTCGTGCTGCGGCACAAGCGGGTGCGGCCGGCGCCGCGCCGCCCCCCGGCAACCATGCGCCGGAAAGGCGACTAATTTTCTAAGCGGAAGGGGGGGCGCTGCCAGGGCTGTTGGTGTCAGCCCTGTAGACGGCGCTCAGGGCAAGCTCGCCCTGCATGGCTCGGAAGGGGCGAAGTACTCAACTGCCGGAGCAGTGGAGCAACCGAAGCGAGCCATTCTCCTGCGGAACACTGTTACCGACGCCGCTGGGCCGGGGAGAGGTGACAGGTTGCCCCCTGTCGCTCTCCTATTCTTGCTCCAAGCACTACTGCCTTGCAATTGATAGGCACGGCGGAGCCGGGGCACCTGCCAGCGGCGGAAACCACGGTAGCGAAGGAGACGGTCAGTTAGATGCTGTGGATGCCCTTCACCCCATAGTGAGGTGCAACCATGCGACGAAAACCCAGCTTGCTAACCCACGTATGTGAGTTATTGCTTCGTCAACCCGGAGCCGAACCCGGAACCTCTTGGATACAGAGTGACGACCACACCACTAGACTAAACGGGCATACCACTGCGCCGCACCTTGCTTGGGGAACCGGGCGCTTCGATGATTGTTCTGTTCGTTCCCCTCGGGTCACGTTTCGCGATTGGGCTTAAATTGTTCCCTAGGCCCTTTCATAAGTGTACAAACGTGACCCTGTTTATTGCAAAAGAAGCATGCGCGCCATTCTGTATTTCTTTCTTGCTTTTTTGGTGTCGAGTTCACTGGCTGCTATCTGGTAGTGCATATCTGATCCCCTGTTGGGATGGTCTGGTACTAGCATCCTCAGTATCGATAGGTTCCACATCAGGATTATTCCTTTTTGGCTAGGGCTGTGTAAGTGGCATTCTTTTCTCTTTTCTGCAAAACGTACTCCTTCCTGCTAGCCAGCGAGTTGCACTCTTTCATTGCTCATTTCCCTCTCCGGAGCCGGGCTGGTTGCTGATTGTCTCTCTCGGGGGGAGAGCCCTGCTATAAACCATATATAGAGCAGCTCCGGTTCCACCATAGGACTTCGGTTCACAAAAGACTAATGTTTCTCAGTGTAACGCTCTATCGTCAGCTTTCCTTGCTAATGCTCTCTTAGCTCGGCCATACCCTGCTCCGTTGCAGCCATCGGGGCAAACATGCAGCGCAGGGCACTCTGGAAGGCCTGCATGGACCTGATGTGTTCCAGGCCAGGCTGAGCCTTTCCTTACATGTAATCACCTTTCTAATGAAAAGGAAGCCAATAGTAATTAGAATTTTGTAGACGAGCGCATAAGTGTAGGGAACTCAGGAACACCTCAAGGCCTCTGCGTCCCGGCTCTCATAATACCGCGATGTTCGGCAGAGTCAGACGCACTTCTATTGCACTGCTTTTGGAGGAAATGCACTTTCTACCGGTGTGGGTGCCGAGACACAGCTGGTCTCTGCTCGGCGAAGCTCCGGACCGTGCGTCGAATCCCCGCAACTGCGGGCGGATCATAGTCAACCTCCGTTTGGCGGAGGAAATTTTGAAATATATTTCGTTTAATGACAGTAAATGTGTTTTATTTAACTTCATTTCATTTTGTGCTTTCTGAAATGAGTGTGGTCACCATGCACGGATGGGATTCGTGCTCCCACCTGCCCCGATGTACCATGCGGCGCTACAAAGGCTAGCACTAACATTCTGGCCAAAATAAAGGACAGAAGCGAGCTGAAATGAAGCCAAATACTTGATGTAAGAATTTTTGCAAGGCAGGTTACCCCGTTCCCCTCTCTCCAGGCACCCTGGGCGTTGAACGCAGGGCCTGGGTGTTGCGGGGAGGATGCAGCTTAAAGGAAGTGTAGCGCACCACGCTGCGGCTGGCGATGCAAGCCAGCTTCATGCGTGCACACAACTAAGATTCAACGAAACATCTTTCACTGCATGTATTACCTCTGCCTTGCTGGTTGCCTCCAGGAGAATGCAAGCTCTCCGCAAGTGTAAACAAAGTGAATGCTCCTGTGCTGTCTGTAGGTAGCCCTTGCTGCAGTGTGTCTTGCTGGGGACAGAGACGGTCTCGCTATTACAATGAATCAAAAATAAGTTAATTTATATATTACAGATTATTTAATTATGTTATTGGTTTTATGTATGATATATTATTTACATATTTGGTAATAACGAGGAAAACATACGGGAGAGAAGGAAACTGTAGACACAGAAAGCATGCATAAGGCGGGTTGTTTTCATATAAATTAAATAAAATTAATAAAATATTTAAAAATACAAAAACAATATACAACTCCCGTGTTAAAGCAATTAGAGAAAATACACAAAAAATTAAAATATATAGAAGATGAATAAACTGAATTGATTGATACAATTAAATAAAATCAATAAAACATAAAAGAGTGCAAAAAAGATACAGATATAAATAAAAACAATTAAATAAAATAAATAAAATATTAAAAACACAAAAAAGATATAGATATTGTTTGTAAACAATAAAATAAATGAATGCATACAAACAAAATATCCATCGTCCTATGGGGAGCGAGGATGCTGTATGGTGTTGTGTGTACAGTGTGTGTATTTTACCATCATTGTGTATATTTTTTTGTGTAATTTAATTAATTTATATATTTTAAATTTAAATTTTATTTAAAAAAACAATTTAATTCGTTCATTGATGCAGCTCCGTCTCTGTCTCAGCCCTGAAGACCCTGGGGGCTGGAGAAGAAGAACCCCCACACCTGCGAAGACATCGTTGCGGGTTGTTTGTTGCTGCTGCTGCCCCCGTTTCTGTTTGTGTTTTGTTGAGTTTGTTTTTTCTTTTATTTATTTACATTTTCTTTTTTCTTTTTTCAACAAAAGCAACCGAAAAAATGGTGCGTTGAGGCCCCCTACTAGCTCCGTTTCTATGGCATCCAAGGAATGAATACATGCTCTCTCTCCCTGCAGTGGCGTGGCGCTGTATTTCTTCTTTTTTCATGTTAAAATTAAATAAATAATGCAATTTATTTAATTTATTTCATTTTCTGCTTCTTTTCCCGTTCTAAAGACCCCTAACACCGCCCTAGACGAGCGAGCCGCAGCTGCCTATACACCCCAGAGCTCCCTGTACACCTCAGAGCTGCCTGTACACCTCAGAGCTGCCTGTACACCGCAGAGCTGCACATACACCAGAAAAGATGCATATACACTTCAGAGAGAGCAGAGAGCTGCCGATACACCTCAGAGCTGCCCATACACCTCAACCATATACATATAAATCAAAGCTGCATATACACCCCAGAGTTTACTATATTTAGAGCTGCTTATACACCTCAGAGCTGCATATACACCTCAGAGCTGCCTATACACCGCAGAGCTGCATATACACCGCAGAGCTGCCCATACACCTCAGAGCTGCCTATACACCTCGATACACCTCAGATTATACCTTAATATAAAACGAATTCACTGCCGCTTTTGTTTCTTTTTTGTTTTATTTATTTTGCTTTGCTGTTTTATTTCACATCTTTCCTTTTCTTTTATTCTCCCCTCTTATTTCTTTTTATTTAATTTTTTTTCGTGTTTCTATTATTTTTCGTTTTTTTTCGTGTTTTACTTCTTTTCTTCTTAATGCATCATATTCTTTGTATTAAACAACTATATTTAATATAATTACGATTTATTTTTATTTATTTTTCTTTTTTTTTATTTTTTTTTGTATTTTTTTCTCAGAAGCTCTACTGCAAGTCAGGAGATTTCCATACATGCAAAGTTCGCCTCGCGGCGGCTTTTGCGGATATCCCGCTAGAGACTGTTGACGTTGTTACAGGTCCATTCCTGCTGCTGCTGCTGCTGCTCTTGCTGCTGCTGCTGCTGCGGTTGCTGCTGCTGCTGCTTGTGGTGCTCCTGCTTGTGGTGCTGCTTGTCGTGCTGCGGTTGATGGTGCTTTGTTGCTGCTGCTGCTGCCTGTGGTGTTGCGGTTGGTATATATATATATATATATATATATATATATATATGTATAATAAGAGTATAATACCTGTCTACATAGACAATAAACCCATCGACTGAAAGCAAAAACCAAAACAAACAAACAAACAACCAAACAACTAAATAAACAAACAAACAAACAAACAAATAAACAAATAAATAAATAAATAAATAAATTTGTGTGTGTTTTTTCAGATAAGGAGGGTAAATGCAAGGGTGAATGTCCGTCTCCCGTGGGGCGTTTGCCTGTTTTATATACCGGGAGAGGAATTTCTTTGTTTTGTAGTGGTTCTATAATAAGGCATTTGGGGCGCATGCACCGAAATAAATATTTATATGGGGACTCACTGCAGCAAGAAGGAGAAGTAGATGCTTGGTTAGAGTATGCACAGGCAGAGCTAGAGATTCCTTTGTTATCTCTTGCTGCTGC